AACAGTTTATTAGCGATTGAAAAGTTTTGTAAATAGACGAAACTTGTTTCATGCTAAAAAGTCTAAGTGCATTAAGGCTAAAGATACGTTGAAGTCAACGAAAAAGAAAACATACCATGTATTTTTATCTCCAACCAAAAGCAAAAATGCTCGAAAGGCCATGGCTGTTTTAAAAGAAAGTCATGGTTTATGTTTCCATGGTGATTTCGGTAATACGAAGTTTTCTATCCGTGAAATTGATAGTAGCACTTTGAATTGAATAAATTAAGCTTCCAAAAACAAAACGTGTATTCAAGTTGTGCTCATGTCAATTGTTTGGCATTGCGTGATGACTTGCCATGTCACGGAAGCGTCATTGTTGATATTTACACAAGTGACCGGTCATGCAAACAGGAACTCTGACAACTTAGAGTACTGCTGTTCAAATAATAAAAATGCCAAACCATCAATTATTCAAAAGTACTACAAAACAAAAACAAAAAACAAAATTTTATCGKTTTCTAAGTAAAATTTTGACACGATTTACGAAAGAAACGAAACGTTGTAGCGCATTCGTGGTGACCATGGAGTTTGCACGCATCATTGTAAACATTATATAGAATTTACTGTCTAAAATCGTTTAATTGGTGCGATTTTGCAGTGTATTTTATGCGTTAACCTGATATAACGATGCAATGTATTATTGACTTTCAGAAAATGTCAAAAATGTCTCTAACGATTGTTATGACAGTATAAATAGACACATGACATTCTGGAAGAACATCATTGGCCATTGAAGCTGTACAAACACGTCCGTGAAGCTGTCTACTTAATATTGTTGTTCCTCGCCTGAATGAGCTTACTAAAGAGTGTCCCGACAAAATGAGCTCGCTTAACACGATTCATCAAGTGATTTTAACCGCTGCCTTCTTTGTTGTGACCAACACCTTTGCAGAGGAATATAAATATGGGACTAAAACGCCGTATRCTCCAGCAGGAAACCTCCAAGCGCTGCAGTCACCMATCGACTGYAGACCCGTGCAACTCAATATGGTAATTCGCCATGGATCAMGATTCCCAAGTTCTGGCAGCAAAGAACAAATAGATTCTCTGCTCAAGAAAATTAACAAAGTTCACAGCTCCTTCATGTACAAGAATATCACYCTACCATGGAAGCTACCATTAATTTACAGCTTTGCCGAAGGGTCAGAGCTCTCTCCAACCGGAGAACTTGAGCTGTATTCATTAGCAAAGCGCTTCCGTTCTCGGTTTCCAAGTATATTTCAGAACATGTACTGGAATCGATTTTACAAGTTTATATCGACTGCTAAAGAGAGAACAGCGAGGTCGGCAGCGGCGTTTAGTTATGGACTCTTCGAAGGAATAGGTCGTCTCGGCAATGCAAGCTACCAGCCTATTCCTATTTCATTTTCAGGTCCAAAAGATAACGATAAGCTTTTGAGGTATTATGACGCCTGCCCCAGATATAAGAAGGAAATTGAGGATGGGTCTGGACTAGACGAATGGARGACGTTTGGTAAAAGTCCAGAAATGAAGCAGTTGATAGCTACTATTGAGGAAAGACTGAAGATCAAAGGTATAATAGCCTAACTTATTGGATATTGAGTGCTGAATTATTTAATGATTTTTTTATGAATTCATTGTACGTTAAGATAAACACTTTGAGAAACACAGAGCATAGGGACATACCATATGAAAAGAAAAGAGATGAGGAATTTTATGATATCTCATTCGTATGTATATCGTTTCTGTTTTCTCTTTCTTTCTTTTATTCGTCTTTCAGT